GCCTACTTCAACCAGTCTGAATGCTGGGCTGTCAACATCACACAGTTCCCCGATTCCTCACTACAAAATATAACCATCCAGGAAAATACCTCTTTAGCCCCAGGGCTACTCTTCCTCTGCTCATCATGGGTATACACTTGTGTGTCCCCTCATACCCGGGGTCCATGCACCCCAGTCACTCTGTTGCTCAGACTAACTCTTTTCACTTCAGGAGAAGTCCAGAGTCTTCTGCCTAGTATAAACATTGGCTCGAATTCCTTGGATGGACTATGACCACAGGAGAGAAGATCAGCTACCCTGGCAGTTCTGGTGGGAATTAGCCTGGTTACTGCCATGGCCTAAGCAGGTCTCATTGCTGGGAGCCTCGGAAAAACCCTCATAGCAACCCAACAACTTTCCCAGGAGATCAGAGACTGAGTGACCAACTCTCCTCAGCTATTGAGGCCACTGCCCAATCTATTCAGACTCTACAACAACTCTCCTCCCTGGCAGAAGTTGCCCTCCAAAATAGAAGGGCACTTGACCTCCTAACTGCAGAAAATGGAGGAACTTGCCTTTTCTTGGGAGAGGAATACGCTATGATGTCAATCAGTTGGGTAAAATAGAATACAATCTCCAATGCCTCCACAAGGTGTCACAAGATCTTTCCCAAAGATATACCCGAGACCAGCAGCAGTCATCATGGGGAGTTTTTTAGGGAGTGCTCCCATGGCTCGCTCTATCCTTTAATAGGACCCCTAAGTCACTATTGGCCTCATTTTGACAGTGGCCCCATGCCTCATCCGCTGCCTTCAGGATCGTATCCACCAATTAACTCACACCAGCTTTAACCAACTTTTGCTTACTCTTCCCCCAGCCACATATAAAAAACTGCCAAGCATGATGGAGGGAGAATGCTCTAACACCAACTGATACCAGGAAATGACAACCTGAGAGAAGCCCTTCCAGATCCGGCCTCATCAAACCCCCTTCCCTTTTTGTTGTCAAACAAACCTTACCCAGCAAGAAGGAGCCAGATGAGAAACGCTGTCCCCAATCCTATACGAATAAAAGGCTGGAATGATAGGCTCAGATCTAGGCGACCCCAGACCCAGAAACCATGAGGCTCCTCAGAGAAGCTGAGTCAACCAACTCCCAGCCACCTGTTAACAAAAGCAGCCCCTGGGAAATTAATGACCAATGTACTGTGATCACCAGAGCATGCCCCACAGGCTGACAAACAGGTTTCCCAAGCCCTTGGCTGCAGTTAATTCCTTGGAACTCTGTAATTGTAGAAAAACATATTTTACAGTAGCTGTTTTCCCCAATATGCTTCACCAGGTACAGACCCCATGCCCTCCATTGAGCAAACAGCCCCCAAAACAGTCCCAAACAGCAGAAAAACACTCCCTTTTCCCCCTTTCTTTCCCTTTATAAGCTACCCCTCTGCAGCCCTTAGGCTTCTGGTTCTTCCTCACACCCCCTGCCAAACCTAATTAAACTCTTGTTTTGCCAGAATCCTCTTTGCTTCTGTTTCTCAGCGCTGACCCCTGACACCTTTCAATCTAACACAAGTCAGTTGTGACAACCAAAACTCTTCAGTGTATGGGGGTGGAGGGCAAACAGAACCACTCTTAGATTACCCACACTAATTAATGGAAGGAATCAAACATATTTGCTTTGGCCTTAATTTGGGACCATTGAAGCAATTGGGACCACTTCAATCCAGAAGCAAACAACTATAGGACTTTGAGACCTAAGCAGCAATTCTCACTCTCTCAAGAATAAAAACAACCAGGAAGAGCTCCAAGCCTGCAAATCACATCCAAAAACCAGAACAATCGATAAACTTGTAAAGTTTAATGCTTCTTTAAAATGTGAAACATAAAACAGTGGAAAACAGGCAGAAGAGGAAAGAAAGCCAGAGCTAAGAACAGAGACAGGGGCCGGGCATGGTGGCACTTGGGAGGCAGAGGCAGGGGGATTTCTGTGAGTTTGAGGCCAGCCTAGCCTAGTCTACATAGTGATTTTCAGGCCAGCTGGGGCTACAGGGAGACCCTGTGTTAAAAAGACAAAAAAAAAGAACAGAGACAGGGGCAAAAGTTCTGCAGCTGAGGCAGGAGGAGGCTGGAGGAATAAGTAACTTAACTCCCCTCTTTTAGAGCTTGTCTATTGTCTTTTGTTAAATATTAAAAATATATAATAACTGGATAAATTTGTGGAAAACAGGTGATATCCAAACGTATACAAACTGTGTAATGATCGCCTCTGAGCAATCAGCACATCCATCACCTTAACCACCAGGGCCTTGTTCTCATTTATTTGCTAAGAAGCTAGCATTTATCAGTCATACTATAAACTGGCACTTTGTATGGTAAGTCAAGCTGCACTAGTAGTCCTAGTCCAGAAGTGCTGCATGAGGACTGCTGGAAAACCTTCAGCCAAATGTATTTCAGCATTAAGAATTGTCCTAGGGGGCTGGGGAGGTAACTCTGTGGTTAAGAGCACACTGGCTACTCTTGCAGAGGACTGGGGTTCAATTCCCAGCACCCACATGGTGGCTAACAACCATCCTTAACTCCAGTTCCAGGGGAGTCAATGCTCTCCTGACCTCCGAGGGCATTGCATGACACAGGTGCACTTACATACATGCGGGCAATACACTCATACAGATAAAAATTAAAAATAAAACATGAATTTTATTGGGGCCAGGCATGGTGGCACACACCTTTAATCCCAGAGGTAGGCAGATCTCTGTGAATTCCAGGCCAGCCAAGACTATATAGTGAGACTCTGTCTCAAAAAATCAAACAATAAATAATTTTACTGGGTGGAGAGATAGTTCAGCAGTTAAGAGCACTTTCTGCCCTCCAAAAGACCAAAGTTTGGTTCCCAGCACCCATACAGGGCAGGTTACATCTGCCTGTAACTCCTGTTTCAGAATATCTGACACCCTCTCCTGGTCTCTGCAGGTACTCACACTTGTGACATACACATGCGCAGACATACACAAAAAGTTTTAAAAACTAAAAACACTTTACTGACCTCAGAAAGTAAACAGGTGCATGAGCTATGCATTGCCTAATACCCACAGTACCTAGCACTGAGGCACTGCCTGCCTTGTAATCAATATACTGCTAGTAAAATACCCAAATAGTCATGCTGAGTAGAATACAGGTTAGATACAGTCTCCTGTAGCTCAGGTCAGGTTTTGCTGCCAACTCTTTTTGGTGGTTGTTGTAGCATTTTCTGAGGTGGAGAGCTATAGGGACGGCCTGCACACATAGTACAAGCAGCTGAAGTAAGCAAAGCCTTCTGGTAGCTGCCTGTGGGGTTCACCAGCCTTTCTGGTAAGAGGTGCGAGCGCCCAAAGCTGTGGTAATCTGAGGTGAGCCGAAATGGCCACAGCAGAGAGATGAGGTGCAGAAAGGGCAGCTAGCCATGACCCCCCTCCCCTTGTGAAGCAGAACCCTGAGCCAATCACATGCTCCCACAGCACACCCCAATCTCTGCCAATACTCTCAGAGGTGACTGAAGTCTGAGATCCATCTTACGTCACTGCAGCGTATCTTCTAAAGACTGTTTCTGAGCCTCAAATTCAGAGGTTTAGAAACTTAAATACAGCGGGTAAAAAGAGATTCTCCTACGTAAGAGATCCCCTGAAAAATGACCAAGTTCTTTGTCTGGTTGCTGACACAGGCGACCTTAGCAGCCGCTGGCTTCAGAAGACGGTTTCTAACAGGGTGGGCCCCCTGTTAGAACTGAAGGTCACCACCATCAGCAAGCTTCTGTTACCTGACTTCAGTGTTTACTAGGGAAATCCCAGCCTGCTGAAAGTTTCTAATCTAATTTTATGGACAGAACAGACAGAATCAAAAAATTATTCTTTTCAGTAAAAATCAACTCTTCTTTCCTATGAAATCCTATTTGTGCCATGCCAGCTCTCTCTTACTATAATTACACACACACAAATACACAGTCAAATTTCAGTCATCACAGTACCTATGTACCCCACACAGTAAACACTGAGTTAGCAAACACCAAACCACTGCTTCCAAGGAAACACACAGACTCAATCCCAACAGTCTCTGGTCATAACATTTTTGTCATCTGATCAATACATAAAACCTCTTGTTGAGTGGGGCATGGTGGTATTGCTTCGTTAACACTGAACATTGAAGAGTAACTATATAAAGAAATGTAGACTATACTTGATCGGTATAACCAAGATTTGATGTTGCCTTTAGACTATATAAAAACATTGAACAGAAGACACATATGCATACACATAATTAAAATTTTTGTTTGCTTGGTTTTTTTTTTTGGTCTTTTTGAGACAGGGTCTCCCAGTAGCCCCAGCTGACCTGAAACGCACTATGTAGATAACCAGCCTGGCCTTGAACTCACAGAGATTGGCCTGCCTCTGCCTCCTGAGTGCTGGGATTAAAGGCATGTACTACCATGCCTGGCCAAAATTTTTTTCAAATAAATAAATAAATCTAAAAAAATGAAGTTATGACATTTGTAGGAAAATGGGTTCAAAAAAGGTAATTATATTAAGCACATAAGCCAGACTCAGTTTTTATTTATTTTGATTTTTTGTTTTTTGTTTTCTTTAGACAGGGCCTCACTATGTAGCCCTGACTGGCCTGCCACTCACTATGTAGAGTAGGTTGACTTGGAACTCACAGATTTGCCTGCTTTTGCCCTCCATGTGCTGGGATTAAAGGACTGCACCAGCATGTAAGCTAGGTGTTTTAAGTCCCTTATGGCTAAACAAAAAGAGAGACTGCTAGGCTTGGCGGTGAAGACCTTTAGTCCCAGCACTCAGGAGGCATAGGTAGGTGGATCTCTGTAATTCCAAGCATGCCTGGTCTACAACAGCAAGATCAGCCAGGGCTACAGAGTAAGACTCTGCCAAAACAAAAAAAACAAACAAACAAAAAAAAACCAGAGGATATAAAATGCCAGAGCTAGAAATTACAAACATGCAGAAAATAACTTCACCAGCATGCACTCACCTTCAGAAACATCAGGAAGAAGTGACCGGGTGTGAGGACTTCTTGATTCACTAAGCTATCAGGGTTGTCCTCCATGCACTCTCCTCTGGCTAAAGCGAAGAGCTTTCGCGTCATGAGACAAAGCAGGTAAAATTTTTCAGTGTTGGATTTCAAGTGGATACAGATGCACTGACTATAAAACACAAAACAAAACACCTTAAAGCAATCTCTATCCTATGCAATGTCCTAGTGATCAAGATCCCTATTTCATGTTTACTAAAATTCCTTACTCCAGGCTAAAGAGATGGCTCAGTGGTTAAGAGTGCATGCTGCTCTTCCAGAGGACCCAAGCTCAATCCCCAACAACCATGTTAGTGGCTCACAACACCTGTAACTCCAGTTCTTGAGGGATCTGACACCTCTGGCTTTCATGGGCACCTGCACTCACATGGAACATACCCACACACATATACACATAATTTTTAAAAAACTTCCTTACTCCCAAAATTGCTTTTCAATTTCAGTGGCAATATTTGTAGAGTACTCTCACCAAGTCTGGAGCCGTGCTAGCCAATACAGCAGCAAGTAACCAAGTGTGGCTATTTCAATCTAATTAAAATGAAACAAAATTAAGACTGCACTGGCCACATCTCAAGTGCTCAGCATGTGTCTTGATGGTTTGAATCCAAGCTCCTTTAAAAACTATACAGTTGTAAAAGACAAAGCCACAGCTACAGAGAAATAAAGCCGCACACTGCCTGCAACTTTCAGCTAACACAGAAAGAGCATGCCACCTACAGTCAAGGTAAGCAAAGTAAATAATAAAGTGTGAACATTAGTGACTGCAAGTGTCCAATGTCTTATTTAGACATGTTGAAAATTTGAAATTATTTCAGAAAAAAAAGAAGTCCAATGAAGTGTAAAGAAACTATAAGAGAAAAGGTAGGGACAGCCAGAAGCAAAGCCCTAGCGGCCAGGCACAGAATCCTACCTAGACTCATTTAACATCACAAACTGCCATCTTTGCAAAGGACCACTGACAGCCTCCCTCACCGCCCACAAACACAGGCCCAGCGCACATACTTAAACAGGAACTCAGCAGCTTGTTCATTAGGGTACCAGTCGGGAAGACTGAGCTTGACTCTGAAGCATTCACCTAGATAGTTAAGGACTTGCTTCTGTGTGGAACAACCCTCTTCCACTACAATCCTTAACATCTGAGAAACAGAGTTCCTAAAGAAAGAGTCGTCCTCTTTTCCTTTGATGAGCTCTTGGAAAATCTGATAATCGGAAAAGCTGACAAGTGCCTGGAACAGAAGAAGAAAAAAAGCTTGGACTTTATTCCTTCTATATCATGCTCTCGGCTAACTCTCTAGGAGACAGCAGAGAAAACCAAGACCTCCCACCAATGGTCAGCCAGTGGGACAGCCACCTTGGAAGTAGACCCTCCAGGCCGGTCAAGTCTGCCCAGTGATGCAGCACCTCAATTTTTTTCACTTTTTTATTTATTACTTTGTGTGCATGTACACAAATGTGTGGAGGTCAAAGGACAACTTTCAGGAGTGAGTTCTTTCCTTCTACCATGGATTCTGGGGGTCAAACTCAAGCCAGACTTGTAGAGAAATGCTTTTACTTACTGAGCCATTTCACCAGCCTAATAGCACCTCCTAGCACCCCACTGTGACCTTCTGCAACCCACAAGTCACTCCTAATCAAGGCACTCCCCAATTCTTCATCCACAGAAACTGAGAGATGTTTTACTGATTTCAGGCTACTGATTTTGGGGATTTGTTGCGGAGCAGTAGGTAACTGGTACAGCATGTGCTTTATTTTTTAGAGGGGCAGGGTCTAGGTATGTTGCCCTAAGCCAGCCTTGAACTTGCAACCCTCCAGCCTCAGACTCCTAGAAAGCTTGGGTTACAGGAATGCATATGTACTTAACAAAGAGAAACCATCCCACATGTGCAGGACACAGCCTTCAATGATTCTATTCATTAACAGAAGATAGTCATGACATCTTACCTTAAGTGCAAATCCCAAGGGGAGGAAAAATAGTTCTTTTTGGTAAATAAAATTCAACATAACTGTGCCATTTTCCAGATAGTGAAGGTTCATGTTGACGGCAGAATGTTCTTCCCTCACGCAGTGCACTGAAACTCCTATTGAAACAAATAGTGAGAAATCATAAGCTAACTGCTCCAATCATTATCTTTCTTCTGAATTATTTTATTCTACTAGACACAAAGCCAAATCATTAAGATTAGCCAAGGCCAGCAATAAAAAATGTTGAAGACCTTGATGAATGCCTTCTGGGTGCAATGTAAAGTAACTGAAACCATACATTTAACCAAACTTCCAAGTTTTTCATCAGCTGGGGCCCAGGTCCTATAGTACTTGATGCTACAGTCACCCTGCAAAGCAGGATCCCCCAGCACTTCCTATCCCCACCACCCTGTGGATCTGGTCAAGAGATGATGGTTTCATCAAACATCCCAAAGGAGAACAGCAGAACTCAGACCAGGTTTTTTACAGACACCACATCAATGATGCAAAAGAATCAATGACTACACATTTCAACTTCTGAGATGCTGTTTTCTGGGTGTTTTCTCTATTACGACAATTAAAGGCCAACTTCTATTTCAATCATAATGATACATTATTTAAACATAGAGATTGGTATAGAATGTCTTATGTGCAGTCCTATGAAGCCAGGCACTGTCAGAGACAGCGTTAGATCAAAGGCCAGTCCCTTGAGGGTGTGTCAAGGCAGCAAGGCCTCTGAGGCCTTTGAACACATGTGCTAAGTCAAGCCAGCCTTCACCTTCATAAACAAAAACATAAATACATGTAGTATTTCAGTCTTTCAGATTGAAGATATACAAAGGCTTTTCACTATGAAATCGCTTTTTAGATATGTTTTAAGTTTTTAAAATTAATAAAGACAATAGTGAAATAATTTGATATACATATACAGATGGTCCCAACTTAACCATGATGGACCTGTGATTTTTTTCTTCACCATGTTACAAAAGCCATATCCATTCCATAGAAATTCTTTTTGGCCTTTTGAACTGTGATCTTTTCCTAGGCTAGCAATGCTTTGTATTTTCTCGGGATGTTGAACAGAAATAGTGAGCTACAGCTCCTAGGCAACCAGGAGATCAAAAAGGAAAACAACTGATAATCTACAGTGTCCTAGGATGCCAATGTTTTTAGATATTGTGTTTTCAAAGCTCATCGTAAGTACAAAAAGCCAATCTGTGTGAGCATATGAGATAATCCACACTTGATTATAAAACAGGCTTTGTTTTAGATGACTTTGCCAAACTGTATGCTAATGTATTAAAAAGTATTCTTAGCATGTTTAGGTAAGCAAGCTACAATGTTTGCGGGTTAATATATTCAGTGCATTTATACATGTGTGGTGGTAGGCATTGAATCCAGGGACTTGTGCATGTTAGACTAGCACTCCACCACTAAACTATTCTCTGCCTCTAAGTGCACTTTTTTTTTTGCTTTGTTTTGTTTTCTTGTTTTTTGAGACAGTCTCACTATATAACCCTGGCTGGCCTAGAACTTGCTATGTAGACCAGACTGCCATAGAACTCAAAGACCCACCTAGTGCTAGAGTTAAAGGTGTGTACCACCACACCAGCTCTAAGTGCACTTGTACACATGTGATGCATAATATTTTCAATTTATTATAGATTAGGACAGAACCCTATTAGTTGAGAAACATTTATATATTGTATAACAATAACCACAACCAAACTGATTAAAAAAAAAAAACAATTACCATGCATAGTTAGTTACCATGTATTATGTGTATGCATATGGGGTCAAGACACTTAAAAAAAATTCACTCTATTATCAAATGTCAAATAATTAATACAGTATCATTTAACTATAGCCATGTTGTACATTAGCACCAAACTATATTTATTTTTATGTACGTATGTACAGGTACACTCGTCCATTCATGTGTACGTGAAGGCCAGAGAACATCTGGATGTCTTCCTCAACTGCTTTTCCATCTTAACTGTTTCAGACAAGGTCTCTCACTGAACCTAGAACTCACCATTTTGGCTAACTTGACCGGCCAGTAAGCCCCTGGAATCTGCATATCTTCCCTCCCCTGTGCTAAGGTTACAGAAGGGCACTGCCATACCCAGGATCCCAACTGAATTCCTCATTACGTAGAAAGCACTTTACCCACAAGCCATCTCCCCAACCCCTGTTTTTATCCTGTAACTGAGAGTCTGTACTCTTTAATCAATACCTCTCCCCACCTCCACCATGAATCTTAACATAGAAATATAGAAAAACAAGCAAAAATTATGTAAAAGAAAAATATTAAACTCTCTAAAAAAATGTTTTCAAGTTGTCTAAACAACATTCCAATGGTCATGAAAACTTACCAAATTGCGTATAGCCAGGCCCTCTGCTTTTCCATTTTGGTCTTACCATTGCAATGGGGAAATTTCTTCGAGGCATAATCAACATTCGGATGACTTTTTCTATGCCATTGATTATAAAATAACCTCCCATTTCCTACCAAAGAGACAGATTTTGTTTCTGTTAAACAAAAGAATACGACTAAAGAAACATGAGTCAATTTCTAGCCAATGACATGCAGACTCCACAGAAGAGGTGCACACAGGCAAAGGGATGACCTGACAGACGTGTGAACCAAGTCTTATCAAACCTATTAGTGGGCTCCTAGGGACAGGGGCTAAAGTATGGAAGGAAAACAGGGAAATCCCTCCCAACCAGACAGGCTCAATCAAACTTGTCTTTCTGTCCCAAATGATTTCAATTTTCAAGTAGCATTTAAAGAAAACGATAATGCCAACAAAAAACTTACTCCAAAGAAAAGACTAAAGTTAAAAAATTGCAGCTGTTTTGCTTCCACATGGGTTCCCCAAGTAAGTTTAAAAAAAACAAAAATTGACTCAGGGCTAGAGAGATGGCTTAGTGGTTGGGAGCACTGGCTGCTCTTCCAGAGGACCTGAGTTCAGTTAGTAGCACCCATATGGCGGCTAATAACCATCCTTAACTCCAGTGCCAAGGGATGCAATGCCCTCTTTTGGCCTCCATGGGCATTGCACAACACAGGTGCTCTTACATATATGCAGGTAAAGCACTCATACATATACTTTTTTTTTTTTTTTTTTGGTCTTTTTGAGACAGGGTCTTGCTATAGCCCCAGCTGACCTGGAACCCACTATGTAGATCAGGCTGGCCTTGAACTCACAGAGATCCACCTCCCTCTGCCTCCCAAGTGCTGGGATTAAAGGTGTGCGCCACCACACCCAGCATAAAATAAATTTTTTTAAAATGTTTGCTATATGAAAGCTTTACAAACTAGAAATCTCTATTAGCTACACACAAGAAAACATGTTCAATAACAAAGAGTATTTACTAACTGCCTGCTATGAAACAGACACATCCTGCTGGATGTGCTAAAAACAAACAGAGCCTGCACATCTTCATTACTTCATTACTTCAACATTCCAGAGCCACCTAACACAGCTGAAAGGAATGATGGGGAAGGAATATGGACCATTCAGTAAGCTAGCAGAATTTCATTGTGAATAAAACAGGCATTTCTGACAATACTTTTGTGGATTAAGGCAGCTTTTTAAAATTCTTGAAGTATGTCTCTGGATATGTATAATTCAGAAAATTAGGGCTGGCAAGATGGCTCAGTAGATAAAGTGCTTGCTGCCAAGCTTGAAGACCTGAGTTCAATCCCTGCGGTCTACATGGTGGAAGAAGAGAATCAACTCCCATGAACTGTCCTGATATGCACATATTAAAGAAACCGTTGGTCATGGTGGTGCATGCCTTTAATCCCAGCATTCAGGAGGCAGAGAGGCATTCAGGAGGTAGATCTACAGCCTGGTCTACACAGTGAGTTCCAGGCTTGCAAGGGCTACATAGTGAGAGACTCTCTCAAAAACAAAAAAGAAAGGTTTAATAAAAAAAGAAGTGAGAGGGGCTGGAGAGATGGCTCAGCAGTTAAGAGCACTGACTGCTCTTGCATTGGACCCAGGTTCGATTCCCAGCACCCACATGGCAGCTACAGACCATCCTTAACTCCAGTTCCAAGGGAATCCAAAGCCCTCTTCTGACCTCCGAGGCATTGCACAACACGGGTGCACTCACATACACGCAGGCAATATGCTAATAAACATAAAATAAAAATAATAAAATATATTTTTTTAAAAAGTAAATAAGACCTAGGGAGACCCTCTGTTTAAAAAAAAAAGTGGGAAAGAAGAAAATTAGGGTTAAAAGTGTAGGTTGATGGCAGAGTTAGGCTTCACATGTGCAAGGCCCCGAGTTCAGTCCCAGATGGCAGGAGGAGGAAAGGGGAAGGAGGGAGAGAGAGAGGAAGGTTAAAAGGGGAGAAGAAAAAGGTTATCAGGGAAAAACCTACTAGTACTCCAAAACAATAATATTCTCTAATGAATAGCTGCTTCTCATTCTGCTTCAAGCTGAGTGTCATGAAGCATCATATACAGTTTTAAAGCCCCATTTTACCTGTCCAGGATTGAAGCAGACACAGAAAACTGGCTCTCACTGGCAAGCTTCCTGAAGCCTCACTCCCAATCCTGGCCATCACAACTGCCCCACAGCCCGGACCCCTGTGCTTACCTCTGCCTCCTCATGGTGCTCAATGAGGGCCTGCGGAGGAAGAGTGTATAAGTTGCAAAGCTTGGACTTTACCATGATGGGAACATAGCCAAGAGACTGTTTAATGACTCCTTTTGAGATTCCATTCACTGCCCAGCTAATATCAGCCTATATGAAAACAAAAGAAAAAAAGTTAAAATACCTGGACCTGCCAGAACAAAGGAGTATTTTAAAAGAATGAGGAAGACCTAGTTTGCTTTCTGTTACTATGATACATAAACACGACCAAGGGGGCTGGAGAGATGGCTCAGCTGTTAAGAGCACTGACTGCTCTTGCAGAGGACCCGGGTTCAATGCCCAGCACCCACAAGGAGGCTATGAACTGTCCTTTACTCCAGTTCCAGGGGAATCTGAAGCCCTCTTCTGACCTCTGTGGCACTGTGCAACACAGGTGCACTCACATACATGCAGGCAATACACTCATACACATAAAATAAAAATAATAGAATATTAATAAAATTAAAATAAAAAAACAAAAAAACATGACCAAAAGCAAGTTGAGGGAGGAAAGGGTTTATTTCACCTTACAGGTTATAGTATGTCATTGAGGGAAGCCACGGCAGGAGCTAAAGGCACAAACCACAGAGGACAGACTCTACTTACTGGCTTGCTCAGCTTTCTTATATAGCCAGGCCCTACCTAGGGAAAGCACTACCCACAGTGCACTGTGTCGTCCTATATCAATCAGCAACCAAGAAAATGCCTCACAAACAAGGACACAGGCCAATCTGATGAAGATAATTCCTCAATTGAGGTTCCGTCTTCCCAAATGACTAGGGTTTGTGTCATGTTGTCAGCCAACACTAACTATAACAAGAACCATAATGAAATGATTTCATGTTTTAGATTCAGAGATGTAACCTCTTGGATGGCAAAACTAAGAAAACAGACCTTTCATATAACCTGATGAGGGACCAACTCCATTCTCAAAATTGTACAGTGAGAGCCACATGCTGTCACTAATACTCACCGTCAACTTCCCACGGTAGGTGCTCCTTCGGCCCCTGCACTCTGCTGGATAAATGTTGAGCTCTTTGCAGATGGTCCCTTTGGGCACCGAGGGTGGACTAATGACAGCATCCACGATGGTAAGAGAGATACGCTCATCTTTGAAAGCAAACTCAAAAGGAGGTATGGCCTGAAATACAATTCACGTTGTTAAATTAACTTGCATTTCCAAGGCACTTTTTCTCTAAACTTCCAAATCTCATGAGTTCTACACTCACTCATGCCTACAATGCCGATGTGATGCACCTAAAAAGAACAGCTAAAGCTACATCTAACTCCTAACTTTACCAACTACTCAGAATTATAATGTATTCACTAAGAACTTTTTTGATGGTGCACTGTGTCACACTCTGCAGCAGACTCTAGGTATACAAAAGAGCTGTTCTCTGAACCTGAGCCATGTGTCTTCTTCCTCAGCACAGCAAGATAAAAGGAACTGTAGGGCAAGAAAAGGAAATGTCCTGATTCTTCACCTTTTTTTACTTCCTGACTTCAGCCTGGCAATTGAAAGAATTCTAAATGGCTCCCACATTTGAGAGTATCAGACTGACAATCAAAGCTCTCCAGCAGTCTCAGTCTCTCTGTCTCTCTCTGCGCCCCACCCCCCAATCTCACCCAACAAAACCAGAGTACTGTCCATCACAAATGTGGCTCTCTCTGCACCACCTGTCTGTAAGGGAATGTACTGTCCTCTTCCCTTGACCTTATCTAATGCTGAGCTTCTGAAACACCTGGATTAGCCATGCCCCTCCTGTGCTCCTGAATCGGCAGACTATACAACCTCTTGGCAGAGCAGCATTGGCATCGACTGCTTTCAGGTGTCTGCTACCCCTAAACAACTAAAACACAGGAGGAGCACCCAAACACATGAGCTGCCTTGCTCTTACTCCCAGAGCCTAGTGCCTGAAGACTCTAAGGATGCTAAGAGACCTTGCCCCATCTTCCCCCATTGTCGTTTCCCGAACTCTGCTGCCACTGAGAGACTGATCCCTCGGATTCCTCTCTGTCTTCCTCAAGACCGGTCTAATTCAGAACAGGTAAGGAGTGGGTGTTTTGTTTTGTTTTTTTTCTTTAATGCTCTAAGAGCGAGAAACTGAAGGATAATCTTGCACATGACAGTCTATCTGAATCACTTCAAAACCTTCTGAGGTAGTTTTCGAATTTAAGACTTCAAGTGATACGGTGTGTGTGTTGTGAATGGTGGGAAAATAAACACCCAAAGGGACCATTTCCGCACTCTCATCTCACAAGACCCTGAAACTGTCTGCATAAAACTACGGCTCGTAATCACACAGAAACCCAGAAATCACAAATACATACATCTTTCCCTAAACCATGCTACAAGTATACGGCGCCAAGCCCCGAGTCCACCTTTCTCTCCAGCACCCTAGATGAACGACCACAGCACCTGTGGAACCGGGAGCTGCGGTCCCCGCTCCGCATTTCCTCTCTCGGGCCGTGTGCTTCCCTCACCCCGCTCCTCTCCCACTGCTGGCCCTCCACACCCGGCGGGACCTGGTTCTCCGCTTGTGCTGCAGCTAGGGTTGCAGCGGACGCAGAGCTGCGGGAAGCCGGGAAGCGGCCAGGCGCTCACCTGCACCGCGTGGCTCAGCCCCTCGCGCACAGCATAGTTGAAGGAGTCCACATGCGCCCGCGTCAGGTCCTGCAACGCCGCCTTTTGCTGCTCCGAAGGAATCCCGTACGAGGGGTCGGTCAAGTGCTTTAGGCTGGGCCCGCTGGGCAGGTTCCGCCACCGGCCCTCGGAATCCATGCGTCTACCCACACCCGGACTGGAGCCGAGTCCACTCGCGCAGGCAGGAATGGCCGGAGCCTCAGCAACCGCGGCCTGCTGGGAAATGTAGTTCCTCTTGTTCCGCCCGCCCAGGTTCTTTCGTTTTATGAGGTCGTTGGGAAACCAAAACCATGGCGTGAATGGGCCTATCAAAAGTGTGCAGACAGGGGCGTGGTGGCGCACGTCTTTAATCCCAGCACTCGCAAGGCTGAGGCAAGCGGATATTTCTGAGTTCCAGGCCAGCCGGAGCTACATACTGAGACACCAACCCCCTTTAAAAAAATGTACAGACAGAGCAGGAGGGACCTTCTCCTCTCCCCTGCCTTACTTTTTATTCTGCAAACCACACCGAAACCCGCTCTGCTTTAGCGTGCGACCGCTATGGCCCTTATTCACTTAATTAGGACCGCAGAGAAGGGCTGCCTTCAAAGGTTCCACTTCGATCATATTCTGCTGCTGACTCTAGGAGACACTCGACCCAAATCTTGGCTTCGACGAAAAGGCAGATGTCGTTGAGCCACCTAACTCATAATGCATGAAAGCTCATCATTGGGACTGCCAGCAGGAATAAGGCTATGCTACGACCCCCGCAAAAACAAAAACAAACAAAACCAGCTCTGTATAGAAATCACTATGTAGCTCCGGCTGGCCTGGAACTCACTATGTAGACCAGGCTGGCCTCGAACTCATAAATATCCGCCTGCCTGCCTCCAGAGTACTGGAATTAAAAGTGTGTGCCCTGTCTGTCTGCACAATTTTTGTTGTTTGTGAGAGTGGTAAATGGTTGGATGGTCTCAAATCGGGGAGGGAGCTCCATGTGAATTTACAGCCTTAATAATATCGATTAAGTGTGTGAATCATTGCCTCCTGCTGTCTTTCAGCTCCATTGTGCATTCACACCTCTACTGTGGTATAACTGGCATATAATCCACTAAACACATTTAAAGTTTGTGCAATAAGTTTTGAACCTTGTATACCCATGAAACCAGCACCAAAATTAAGATAGCTAATCCCGCCCCTCGGGAATCCCCCACTCCCACCAACTTCACCTTTTCCTAGCTCAGCTGGCAGTTTTTGTTCACAGCAACACTTTTAAAGACTTTATCTTCTGTATCTTCTTCTTGAAATCACCAACTCCCAACAAGGCAGGTGCAGCTGTAACTTAGGTTCTACCGCCTTCCTTTGACATATTGTATCTCTACTCCTTCTGAGCAAAAAAGCTTTCCTTCCCTCCCTCCCTCCTGTTCAAGGACTCCTGGAAGGCAGACAGTTATTGTAATAATCTTTCCATCATCATACAAACTAGCTGGAAGTTTTGTGGGTTGTTTTTTCTTTTTGAGACAGTGTCTCCTAGCTCCAACTGGCCTGGAACTTGCTATGTACACCAGGCTAGCCTCAAACTCACAGAGATCGCCTGCCTCTGCGTCCCCGAGTGCTGGGATTAAAGGCATGTGTCACCATGCCCGGCTTAGCTGGAAGTTCTTTTAGAACCTCCAATCTGGATGTCCTTTCTTCCTTTGTCTAACTGCTCTGTCAAGAACCTTTAGTGTACTTCTCTTTTTTTAGGAGACATGGCTCATCATGTTTCATCCTCCCAAATTCTAGGATTACAGGCATATACCACCACATCTAGGCTACCTTTAAAACACTTCTGAAATTTTTCATAACATTTATTGATTTATGTATGTGATGTGTTTGGTTGAGGGCATGCATTTACCATGGTGTATGTGAGGTCAAAGGACACTTTGGGAAGTCAGTTCTCACCTTCCACCCGGTGGGGGAAGGGTCTCTTTTTGTTTCTGTCACTCTTCATACTCCAGGTTACCTTACCCATGAGCTTCCAGGTAATTCTCCTGTCTCTACCTCCCATCTGGAATTACAGATTCAAGTCATCTCACCTGGCCTTTTATGGGTTCCATGGATCAAACTCAGGCCATGAAGTGTGCACAGAAAGTGTTTTTACTGGCTAAGCCATCATGTTAGCCCTAGTACCTCTTTATTGATATAAGAATTAACACACTTGGTATTGGTTTCCAACTTTATTCCTTTGTGATCAGAGAACACATGTATTTTGACCTCCTTACACTTACTGAGGCTTGTCTGATAACCTGGCATATGACCTATAGCAGAGAATGTTCCATGTATACTTTGAAGAATGTGTATGCTGCTGTGGGTGAAGCGTACGGTAGACATTTGTTGGTTTTCAATGTTTTCTATTTCCTTGATCTACTGTACTGCTGTTCCATCCACTACTGTAAGTGGAGAATCAAAGGTTCCAATATTATTGTTGAATTGACTATTTCTTCACTCAATTCTGCCAGGTTTTTGTTTCATGTATTTTGGGCTGCCTTGCCAGGATCGTATGTTTATCACTGTTCTATCTTCCTGAGGAGCTGATCTTTTCACAGTGATAAAATGTCTTTGTAGCAACCTTTTTTTTTTTCTTTTTTTTGCTAAATCTGTTTTGTCTAATATTAGTACAGCCACTCCAGCTATATTTGAGCTACTGCCTATATGGTCTACCTTTTTACATTTTTGTCTTTTTGGTTATAAGGCTTTAACAGCTGTGCCAGCTCTCCAGCTCCCTTTTACATTTTAATTTATTTTTGCTCTTTTTGAGACAGGGCCTCCCTGTAGCCCCAGCTGGCCTGGAAATCACTATGTAGACCAGGTTGGCCTTGAACTCACAGAGATCGACCTGCCTCTGCCTCCCAAGTGCTGGGACTAAAGGCGTGTGCCACCACGCCTGGCCCTTTTTACATTTTATATTATCAACTTATTTGTGCTTTTAATATAAAATGTGTCTTATAATACTGCATAGTTAGGTCTTGTTTTTCTTTATAATTCATTTTGCCAATCTTTGCCTTTTGATTTGAGAGTTTGATCGATTCACATTCAATGAAATAACTCTAAAAGTAGGATTTATCTGCCTTTTTGCTCTTGGTGTTGTGTGCCTTGTTTCTCTCTTCATAGACTTCTATATGTGTATGCTGACATGCTTGATCGTATCTGACAGGTCTCTGAAACACTTTTTTCCCTTTCATCAGACTGCATGATGCATGCTACTGTTTTGTACCCTTTTCCCCATTTATGTGCCATGTCTTTTTAAAAATTTTTTGGCTTTTTATTTTAGATACATGAGTGTTTGCCTGCATGCATGTAAGTGCACCCACACATGCAATGTCCACAGAGGCCAGAAGAGGGCACCAGATTGCCTGGAACTGAAGTTACTGACAGTTGTTAGCCACCACATGGGTGCTGGGAACTGAACCCAAGTCCTCAGAAAGAACACTCAGTGCTCTTAACTGCTGAGCCATCTTTCCAGCCTCCCTCCTACCTTTTTATCTTTGCAGAGGACCTGGGTTCAATTCCCAGCACCCACATGGTGGCTAACAACCATCTGTAACTCCAGTGCCAGGTGAATCCAATGCCTTCTGACCTCCATGGGCATTGCACGACATAGGTTCACTTACATGCAGGCAAATACACTAATACATATAAAAAATAAAATTTTTTTAGCTGGGTGTCGTGGCACACACCTTTAGTCTCAGTACTTGGGAGGCAGAGGCAGGTGGATCTCTGTAGGTTCAAGGCCAGCCTGGTCTATACAGTGAGTTCCAGGCCAGCTGGGGCTACAGACACCCTATTTCAAAAAGACCCCCCAAAAAAATTTTAAATAAAGAACTGGAGTTACAGATGGTTGCTAGCTACCATGTGGGTGCTGGGAACCAAACCCGTTCTCTGGAAGAGCAGCCAGTGCTCTTAACTGCTGAGCGATTCTCTAGCCCCCAAAATTTAGATTTCTTAACATAATGGAACAACTTTGGAAACTAAACACTCTAGATTCACCCCTTATTCCTTCACTGTTTCTCTCTTCTCCTTCCTTCTTTGGAGACAGGTTATCACTATGTACCCCAGGCTGGCCTTGAAGGCATTTAAAAACTTATTTACTGTGTGTGTGTGTGTGTGTGTGTGTGTGTGTGTGTGTGTGTGTACAGGCACTAGTGTGGAGCATGTGGAGGTCAGAGGACAACTATTCGGTTTTCAGAGTTTCTTACTCTGCTATTCCCAGAGAACACAATGTCTTCTCAGGAATTCTTTTTTAAAAAAATGGTTTTGTTTACAACCATCTTAAAGTTGTGCCATTAGGCATCCCAGAAGATGGAGGCTCATTTCTCCAGCCTCTAGGGAAATTCAGTCTAGGGGCCATGAGAGAACTTCAGGGTTTTTATTTTGTTTTTCATGGTTTTTAAAATTTATTTTTCTTATTTTATGTGTATGAGTATTTTGCTTGCAGGTATGTAAGTATACCCATGGAAGTCAGAAGAGGGTGTCGGATCCCCTAGAACTAGACCTACAGACCACCATGTGGGTGCTAGAACCAAACCCAGATGCTCTCTACAAGAGCAGTCAGTGCTCTTAACTGCTGAGCCATCTCTCCAGCCCCATATTTTGTTTTTTTAAGAGTCTCACTACATAGCTCTGACTGGCCTAAAACTATGTCGATTAAGCTGGCCTCAAACTTGCAGTGATCCCGCCTCTGCCTTCAGTGCTGGGATTATAGTTGTGTACTACCATGTCCACCATGGACCTCAAGTTCTTTAAGAGAAAGCTACTGATAGCAAATGGTCCTAGCCTGTAAGTCAAGTCCTCTAATGCCATCGAACCTTCCCACTCTCAAGCTGCTAAGTACCTCCCAGCCTGTGACCATGTCTGCTTCTTCATTTCAGAAGCTCTTTTCAACACTGCCCTATATTGGCAGCACACATAAGTCTCCTTCACAATCATGGGTCTCACTCGACCATTTGCACCATGATTCAGACAGTGCACAAGGGAGAAGGGATGGACCAGATTTTGGCAGCTGACATTGTTTCAATGTTTGCAGGACAATCTGTTGCCTTCTGTAATGAATAACATCCTAGGATCTGCAAACTGTGGTCAGATCTGGCTTGTTTTGTGTTGTATGTGTGCTTGTAATAGTTTTCATACATTTTAAGAGTTGAGGGAAAAACAATTTATTGTCTTGCTGCTTAAAGGAAAAGTCTGCCTGCCTCTAGGTGGTATCATAGATTAAAATAACCAGTGATGGCCAAGGAGAGTCAACACCCACAGTAAGACGACAGAGACACCGAGCGGAAAAACACTTGAAATATCATTACTTTAATGCTCCAGGCATTTTAGACATTCATAAAATCACCTTGTTTTAGAAATCATTTCCTCTTAGGTACAGATTCTATGTCCGTGATCAGAGGCATAATACCACTGAATTCTCATGACAGTATCAACATGCTACATGCAACACACTTTGGCACCTCATCTTTGTCTGCTACACCCACAACAGGGCTGAATCCACCCGTCAACACAAAAACTGTTCATGAAAATACTTGGTAACTTCACTGACACTGGTTAGTTCTGTGGATCCCAGCCCATTTTTCGTGCTTTCAGGTGCCCCACACATGTGAGCATCACCCTGAGAAGCTAGCAAAACATGCCGTCAGTGCTTCGTGCACCAGCATCCCCTCCACTGTATCTTACAAACACCGAGGCACTTAAATATTCTTGGCAAATGGACTTTATAATTGCCATAGGAATGAAGTGTGAGGAAAGGGGCTTTTCTCCCATAATTAATAACTCTAATATATATATAGATATTATATTAGATCTATAAACTTGTGTTTGCAATTGCTATCAAGACTATAAACTGCTTATGTAAATGAAAGCATGCTTGATTTTCCAGATGTTGTGAGGAGAAACAGAGAACCTGCTCCGACTCTTGTACTATGCTTATATGTCAACATTTAGTTGTTCTTAAAGAATTGCTTCCTTCCAAAGAGTATTTAAAGCCTTAAATGGTTCTTCCAAGGTAATAATTCATTTGTCTTGCTTTCCCAAGTAATGGCTCAAGGCATAAGACATATTACTGCCTGAGGTTCTGACTAAATTAGCTACAGGTAGAAGGGGGCATGAACTTTTTTATTTCACAGGCGATTATAGCATATAGTTGGCATGAGAACCTTGGTGCTAAAGGCCCTTGAGTCTTACTCCTCTCTCCTGTTCTCGCGAAAAGTCCTTGAGGTAGTCCCTGGGTCAGGCAACTTCTCCTCCATGAGATAAGAAACTAAGGCACAGGGAGGTTACTCGGCTCGTCTGACACGGCAATTAAAGGACAGAGCCACGAGTGAAATCAACATCTCCAAACAAATAGCGCCTCCTCCCCCAGCAACTGGCAGCACTTTACACAGACTAACTATGAAAACTGACTAGAGAGCCAGACACGACCATCTGTGCCAAGGACACCATGGAACAGTATGGAACAGTCCAGAGCCAATCCTACCTGGTGGGAAGTAAATACATAAAATAGTTGAAGCCATGTAAGGAATGAGTTCAACCCTTTACCTTGTTTAATACCTTACTTCCCTTACATAGACAGTATGATTTCATTCAGGTTTCTTACAAAATCTGTCAGGATTCACAGACTTACTAATAACTGAATTCTTAGTCGCTGTAACAGCAGAAACTCCTGAAGTCCCTATGAGTTGGGTCCTCCACGCTTTCCCAGTCACCAGACCACCCAAAATAGCCAAGAACCCAGCACCCTCCACTTTCTAAATGGGTGTGCATGTTCCCAAGATGTGATGGATCTCACTGCCTTTTCAGAAGTTTCCAAACACCAACCCCTCAGCTGTGCTGGGCCTCAAGGACTTACCACTGACTGCTTTATTTTGCTCTGGGTGCAAACTTTGTGATCCATATTCTAGATAAACATAGGCCTTTTATCCTATAATTCCAAATTCCCATCAGTTGGGGCTTTCTTCACCTAACCTCAATGTACACCTTCACATTCTGTCACCCACTGCTGCATGTGCTAATAACCAATCTCGTCATTCTGTTTCCCACCATAAGCTCCCACATCTCATCCTATCTGAGGAAGAAATGCTTTTCTTTCTCTTTTGTAAAAGTCTCACTTGACTGTAGAACATACCAGATAAATACAAATAAAGCAGCACACACATGGATACCAGGAAAAAACATGCTACACTCTGGGATGAAGTGTAGCTTTTGTTGTCTGTTGTGATTTCTGGGCTACTCTGGAAGAAAAGCCTGTTTACTCAGCTCACACGGAACACAGTGACACCTTCCCACTGCTAATGAAGACGTCTCCTGAGACGCCTACAAAATGAGTGGGTCCATGACATGGAAAGCACATCTCGTGAAACACTTTTGTTGACTCTCAGAAGCTGTGCAGAACTTAAAGCCACGTTTTTGTCACTCAGCCTCATTCAAAGGGCACCTCTCTTGTCACCTACAGGCAAAAGCAGACAAAATCTGTCCTGGAATGGAACCTGGTCCTCCAGCTCCTGCAGAAAGTCCTTGGAGCACAAGGAGGTCAGAAATGGGGAGAGCCACCCGTGTCTGGCCACAGCTTTCAGCTAAGGAGGATGGGGAGCGGCATTCTACCTTTCCTAACTCCCAGAGAGGACTTTTACAAAGGCTCAAAAGAGGGAAAAAGTAAAGGAAAAGAGAACTTGCAAAATTGCATTTAGAATTCTGATTAAACCAAAGATAATTGAGAATCATTTCAGAGACATTTCAGATAACAGATATTTCAGAGACACCTACCCACCCAACCCATTAAGTAAAGTAAGATACCATGATTTTTTTTTTTTCTCTCACATGCTTATTTGATGCTTATGGATTCGTCAGACCTGCTGCTTTTGTTTCTAGAACATGCAGAGAACAGCATATGCTGTTTGGTGCTCAATCCACAGGACCCTTGGCAGGTGCTCACCCACAGGCCATCAGGAAGGTGGTAAGCAAGCCTTCACTGAGGGGCTAGCTCACAGCATGAAACCAGAGGCTGTGGTACAAGTTTGTCCAGTTTAGTGGGGCAGTGTCTCAGAGGTGATGCACAGGGAACACACGGCAACCTCCAGAACGCTCTAAGGTCCCATCCGTGTCCCGAACAGTGGGGCTGCATCAGGCAGAGCTAAGGCACTAAGGCTGCAGCAGGTGGAGACAACACTCAGAGGTCCCTGGGCTGCCATCCTCTGGAGGAGGGGCTCTGCTCCCAGGGCCACCTGAGTCAGAATGTTCAAAGGATGAGATCACACTGTACCCAAATCCCCGGTTGTATCCCCTTAGAAGAATGTTCGGCTCTCTCCTCTGAGGGACTGTCTTCAGTTTCCTGAGGTCTCCACAGCACTGCTGACACTGCCACCTGCTCTCTGGCAGTTGCCTCCTTTTCTCGCGTTCTCTCCCTGCATTCTGTTCCCTGTCATGACCCAATAAGGAGCAGTCCAGTCACTTCACGTTCCTCTGAAGCAGGACACTGTCCATTTCCCAAGGCAGCTCTGTGCCTTCCGGTCTGTCACAGCTTGATGAATGCAGCCGGCTGTGGCACCTGCTCCACATCTGGGGGTGGGAAGACACTGGATATGGCTATGTCCACGATGCCCTGGCACAGTTCTGCATAGAGCTTCCTGAAATGCGTTTTTAAATATGTCACTAAGGGTATTCATCAAAGTACAGGCGAAAAATTCTAAAGTTTATTTTTTTTTGGGGGGGGGGTGTTCAACCAAGATCTTCCCTGGAAATTCCATCATGTGAATACCCTTATAAAAATCTCCTCGGTAGGGGGCTGGAGAGATGGCTCAACGGTTAAGATCACTGGCTGCTCTTACGAATCCCAGCACCCACATGGTAGCTAACAATCACCTGCGACTCTAGTTCTATGGGATCTGACACCCTCTTCTGACCTCCATGGGCACTGTACAACATGGGTACACTTACACACATGCAGGCAATACACTCATACACATAAAATAAAATAAAATAAAAAATCTCCTCTGTAGAAATAAATACAGGAGGCACTGCACACAGATAAAACATTTAAAGGAACTATTTAAGTATTTAAGAATGGCCTTACTGTGAGCAAAATTAATTTCTGGTCTGACTGACAGGGAAGACATAAGCACCATCTTGCCTGTCTATGAGGGTGTACATGGAAGGGTGGGCACCACTCAGGGAAAAACCACTTCTTTGGTGGAGAAGACACTGGTGAAGACACCATGGGATTGACAGATAAGCTGGGACTCAGGAAATAGAGAGCAGTCAGACAAAGAATGAATGGCCTTAGAAAAACAGGAAGGAGAGCAGCAAAAGACAGAAGGTGGGGGAGGGGGAAGAGAAAGGGGTTCGTCTATGTGGGCATGTTGGACGTGAGAAAAGGGGCAGTGTGGAGGGAAGAGCGGCCTGTACCAACAGGGCAGAATTCAGGGCAATGGGCTCCAGGGCATCACTTGCTTCAGCAATAGAGCTAGTATCTTGGCCTGATGACCTAAGTTTGATCACCAGGATCAATGTAAAGGTTGAAGGAGAGAACTGATTCCACAAAGCTGTCCTCTGACCTTCACATATATGGTGTGTATATTCTAGAAATAAAACAAAAACTATTCATTTAATAGCAACTAGTGTAGTGAAGGAAATCAGAGGTCATTCAGGGAAAGCCTCTTTTAAAAAAAGCAGGCAAGAGCAGTCACAGGAAGTGATATCCTTGAGCTGAGAGGCAAGGGAGGCAACAGTCTCACAGGCAGAAGGAGTATGGTTCCTGTTTTCTCATTCTGCTCTGGGGAGGATGGACTTCCGGGAGCAGCACAGAAGCACAGATTCCAGTGAGGAGGCTCTTTGCAATACTTCCCCAGTGACTGAAGGTGGTCTGCACAAACAGCAGTGGAAGAGTACAAAGGACAGAGGACTGAGGAGGCCAGAGGCAGGGCCCACGAAGTCTGTGGACAGAACTGAGGGTGGGGAACGGTGACCTCTCCAGCCCCCCCCGGCATGGGTAAGTCTAGAGAAGAAGGCAACGGGGCAGGTGCTATCAGACCCACAGACATCCTGGGGAAGGCCATACAGACACAGGTCTACAACTCCAGAGCTGCATTTGGTGAGCTTTGCCATGAAGTGTAAAGAGATCACATACAGAGAGAGTGGAGCAGAGAGCTGTAGGCCATCCAGAGCTAAGACCTGAGACCCTTGATGAGGAAATCCAGCTTGCCTACAGTCCCTTAGTCATCCCCACCCAGTACACAGGGACCTGAAACCACAGAGGACGACTCAGCACAAGGAAGGCAGCCACATCCAGTCCTGCCATAGGGCCAGGGAGGGGAGGACAGAAAAGGCTGCCGGGCTCAGCCAGGGACTTTTTAAGAAAGGTTTCCTGGAGGAAAAGAAGGCAGCTCCTGTAGGTGGCACCATCTAGAGGACCATGAAGAGGGCAAGGAGGGGGGTACTCAGTGGAGTAGAATTGGTAAACAGCTGGGAACATGTGTGCAGGCATGTGGTGATGGGAGTCATGCAGCCATGAGGGAGCAAGCTGGCACGGAAAATGAGGACGGTGGGAAGACAGTGGGAGGGAGGGGCACTCTGGAGGAGTAGGTCTTTGACAGACGGGGCAGGAAACTCTGGACACACAGCTGTCGCTTTGGAGCACGCCTCCACCCTCAGCCTCCCATGCCACCACTCCTCTAGATCTCTGCTCCAGCCATCACCTCCAAGGGGGCCTTTTGCTAAGTTATGTCCCCTTTAACATCTTTTCTTCTCTGTTAAAGAGCTTTCTCAGTTTGTAACCAAACTTATTTTGTCTTTTCTCTTGCCCACAGTCTTTCCCCAAGGGCAAGGCCACTCAGTACCCAGAATCCATGCCTGGTGTGGTACCTGGCAGGTTAGGCTCTACTGAATAGGCACACATTGGCTACTGGGACTGACAAATGCAAGGGGATCGCATCTATCACAACCCTCAAGCCAGTGGCAAAGGCCTGGCCTACTATGTATAACCCACAGAATCACCTCAGTTTCTCCAAGAGGTAGGCATGGGACCAGGGAAGGGTCCTGATGTGACAGAAGTGCATGTTTGGAAAAGCAAACATCATGGGAGGATTATACCCATAAGGCTTACCCTTACAGCAAAGACTTCCACACAAAGTTCCAGATCATCTGACTACCCTTGTCCTTCATCATTCTCTACATACCAACACCTTTAACAGGAAGGAGATAAGCCCTCCACATCCCTGCCAAGGGCAGGTTCTCCTCAGCTGAGCATCAGCTTCCATAAAACCCAGCACAGACCAAGGTCCTCGTGCCCATCTGAATGCTCTCCCCACTGCCTCTGGTACAGCTGAGTACTATTGCCTCACACTCAAGCTCAGGCTCCATTGTGGCCCTTTCCTGGGGAGACCTTACAGGATCCAGCTCACTCAACTTGCACATGAACATGACCATCACAAGATTTCTCTAACAGTTATTAGTTCAGGTTTTTATTGTTGTTATTTGGAGATAGAATCTCACTCTGTCACCCAGGCTGGCCTCAAACCCATAATGATCCTCCTACCTTAGCCTCCAGAGTGCTGGGATTACAGGTTGATCCACCACACCCAGCTTTGCATTAGTTTTGTTTGAAACCCTCATCAACATATGGGGAAATGGCTCCGCTAAGCCCCATACCAACCAGGGTCTTCCAAAGAACTTCTTTTACTGCAACCTCCTTCCTGACAAAACCAAAGGGTCTATGCTTGAATGTGACAGTCACACTACCCAAAGTGGCAACCAACTTCTCATTGTTTAACACAAGAAAGTACAGGCTTACTGAGCACAAGCAGGGGCGCCGTTGACCTCAATGAGCCAGACCTTCAGCTCCTCATCCACCATGAAGTCGAAGCCAAAGAGCTGGAAGCTCTGGTAAGGGAGGTGTCTGGTGCTGATGGCCGGCTCCACACTCGTGAGGCAGCTCCTGTGGGGGTAAGGGAGAGAGCGCCCTGAGAATGGGGCAGCGGAAACTGAAGGCACACACAGGCTACGTCTGGAAGACTTTATACCAAACATGCATAAAAATCAGTTTCAACTTAATTCTCTTCTTTAAAATTTTTTTTCTTTATTATTTTTATTATTTGTATACGAGTGTATTGCCTGCATGTATGTAAGTGCACCTGTGTCCTACAGTGTCAGAAGAGGGTGTCGGGTCCCCTGAAACTGGAGTTATAGATGGTTGTTAGCTGCCATGTGGGTGCTGGAATTCAAACCCAGGTCGTCTCCAAGAGCAGCTAGTGCTCTTAACCACTGAGTCATCTCTCCAGTCCCATCAACTTAATTCTCTTCTTAAACATTTATCACTAACAGATTACTCAAGAGAAGGCAACTTATCAAACAGCTTGTTAGGAACACAGGCAACCCTTCCTGTTCTTCCACCAAAGCTGCTGGCGCAGACCCCACAGGTAGATGATGTCTAGTCACTGCCATCTCCACCAGATTCTACCACAGCTGTTTATAAGAATTAGGCTAGCACTAGGTGTGGTGGGCAGGCCTTTAAACCCAGCACTCAGGAGGCAGAGGAAAGCAGATCTCTATGGGATCAAGGCCAATATGGTCTACAAGCCAGCTGGGAGACCACAAGGAGACCTTGGCTCAGAAAAAAGAAAAGAAAGAGTTAGGCTAGGGATTTGCCTGCAGCCACCTCCTCAGTGCTGGGATTACAAGTATCAGCTTGTACCACGCCAAGCTTTTTAACATGAGTGCTAGGGATCAAACTCAAGCACTTTACTGAGCCATCTCCCCAGACCACTTCTGTGTATTTTTGCCTTGTGAAAAATAGCTTGTAAAGATCAGAAATGGCAGGGAGAATGTCAGCAGTATTCTCTCTCACCAGCTCTGCCCTCCTGCCAGTTATTGCAAGGGAACATAAAAGAGCAACACCTATTCAAATTCAAAATTGAAACATATCACAGAATTATCAGTAGTGCTATTATCTTTTTTAAAAATTGGAAGATTTTTCTCGGTGTGTCAGCCCACACCTTTAATCCCAGCACTTGGAAGCAGAGGTAGGCAAATCTTTGTGAGATCAAGGCCAGCCTGATCAACATAGTTCTAGGAGTCAGCTGGAGTGACAGGGAGACCCTGTCTCAATAACAAAAACAAAAGAGGGATATTTCAATAACACAGAAAGAAGTTTAAAATTGAGTCTCAGAAACATGTCTAAACACAAGCCAGGTCCACGACCACACCACCCTGATCCTGCCCAATTCCATCTAAGAATGTACCAGAATCTCAGACATGGTTGTTTTTGTTGTTATTTTACGACAGGATCTTGCTCTGTAGCCCTAAGCCAAACTTCAATTTCCTTATCTATAACATTGGGGCTAAAAGTGGTACCTGTTCGTTCCCTTGAGACTGTTCACTGAGATAATTACATAAGATATATCAACATAACTCCTGATACCTAGTAGTAGTACCTAGGAGAAATGTTACTCTTCTAAATAAGCATGTCTTTAATTCATCATTAATACTAATAATCACAAATCTCTTACTTATGAATAGTAACTGTCATCTAGCTGAAGCACCCAGAAAACCAAAGCCATTTCTGTTTTATAAAGCTCTTTCCTGAGCTTTTCCTCAACTGAATGCTGGGAAGCATCTTTGTCTCATGGTGTCTGCTGGTTCTGGGGCTGAGGTATACACTAGAAGGAACATGATTCAGGGAGCTGAAATCCAGCTGACTCAGACGCATCCTCACAGGCAGGCTTTGGCTTGTGACTTCGAAAAAGAACTGAGGGAAGCTGGGCACATGCCTGTAAACCAAGCACTGGGGAGGCCAAGCGAGAGGATAGTGAGTGTGAGGTCAGCCTGGCTACACAGTGTGGTCCAAGTTGACCTGGGGCAACACAGTGAGACCTTGTTTCAAAAAACGAAACAAAATTCCGGAGGACTGTAAGAGGGAATAATGGGCAAGGGTTGAGTTATAACCAAATTCTGTTATTTGCACGAAAATGCCACTATAAAATCTATCATTTTGTACTATCAATACCCACTAATATACAAGATGTAATGACACAGGCTAATCCCAGCACTCAGGAGGTGGAGGTAGAAGGATCTTGAATTTGAGAACACTCTAGAGTACGTAAATTTCATCTCAGAAATAAACAAGGGACTGGAGAAATGGCTCAGCAGTTAAGAGCACTTGCTGCTCTTCCAAAGGACCTGAGTTCAATTCCCAGCACCCACATTGGGCAGCTCACAACCACCTGTAACTCCAGCTCCATGGAATTTGATGCTCTTTTCTGACCTCCACTGGCACCTTCACAAACGTGGCAACACTCACAGACACACATGTACATATAAATATTTCAAAAATAAATCTTAAAAAACAAACAAGAGGTGGAGAGATGGCTCAGAGGTTAAGAGCACTGGCTGCTCTTGCAGAGGACCCAGATTCGGTTCTCAGTACCCACAGAGCAGCTAACAATTGTCTGTAGCCCCAGTTCCAGGGGCTCCGATGTTCTGTTCTGGAGTCCATGGGCACTGCATGCAGGGGTGCACTTACACACATGCAGGCAAAACACTCACACACATAAAATAAAAATAAAACATTAAAAATTAAAAAAAAAAAACAGAAACAGGGACGGGAATGGGGAAAAGAAAAAAAGTGCTGTATTAAAATTTTTAAGCATTCCCTCTATGAGAGAGTATCTTTAAGCATGTTTTGATTAAAATAATTTAGAATATTATAATCAAAAAAGTTTAGAAGTTTGATGAGAGAGAGAAGAGAGAGAGATTCAAGCAACATTGTTCTGACAAAAGTGAGCATTAATGTTTCCATCTGCTGGAAGCACAAGATGAATAGTCCATAGTGAGGAATTCTTCTTCACTGGAGGCTGCAGGCACCACATCTTTTTTTGACTGGTTGGAGTTAGCGGGAGGCCGGCTTGGGGAACTGTTGGTGTGGAAGGGGCAGAACCCCCTGCACTGCATGGAGTGACCAGCAGAGGGAGAGGAAGAGTCAGATAAACCTTTGCTTAAAGTCAGAATTCCTTCTGGGGGAATTTTATACCCCCAGTGCAGACATTCTTACCATCTACAACCCATGAGTCCAAGTACTCAATTATTCTGCTAGACTTTATGTGAGAATACATTAAGGAAAGAGTCACAGTGTCAGGGTGGCAGAAATACTGGAGAGAACAGGGATCCCAGAACATAGCCTCCGGCCAATGACACCCAGCTCACAGAGAAGGCTCACAGTTCCAGGAGGGCCTTAGATCAACAAGATATCCTTGTAAAAACCATGGGACTTGAAATATGATAATTCTAGGCAAATTATAGGTCTAAAATATAAGAAATAAGAAAAAGATGAACAAAAATAAAATCTACAGACTAAAACCTAGATGTTGTGAACTACCAAGGGTTAAACTCTAAATGACAAGAGTGTGCCAGCTATAAATATTTTATATCTTCACTTGTACATGTATAACTTAAAATTAGCTAAATTGTACTGATGAAATGGCTAGCAGGGTAAAGATGCTTGCCTCCAAGACCGATGACCTGAGTTTGATCCCTTGGACCCACATGGTAGAAAAGAACTGACTCCTGACTCCTCAAAGATGACCTCGGACCTTTGCATGCAGTGACCTGTGCGCGTGTGTGCATGCGTGTGTGTGTGTGTGTGTGTGTGTGTGTGTGTGCAGGCGTGCACAATAAAAAAAAGTAAAAATTTAAAAATTCACTAAACTGTATACTTCTTAGTTTTTTGTTTGTTTGTTTTGGGTATTTGAGACAGGATTTCCTTGTTTCCCCAGGTGACCTAGAACTTGCTATATAAACCAGGCTGGCCTCAACCTCACAGACACCTACCTGCTTCTGCCTCCTGAGCACTGGTATTAAGGGTGTGTGCCAACATGCCTGGCTTTAAACTGTATATTTTTTGAATGTTGTATTTAATTTTTAAAAATAGCTAGATTTAGTAATCCATGATAAATGAATACTACCATTAAAAAACTATTTCCAGGCATATTAAGAAATGTATCGAGAGAGAGAGAGAAAAAAAAAAAGACAATAGAAACAAAACTATGCCAAGAACAGGTGAGCTTTTTTTTCTTATATCTGAGACCAAGTCCAGGGCAGTGTACATGTTGGACAAGCACCAAGCCTGCTGTGGTGGCACACACCTTTAATCCCAGCACTTGGGAAGCAGAGGCAGGCCAATCTCTGTGAGATCAAGACCAGCCTGGTCTACATAGTGAGTTCCAGGACAGCTGGGGCTACAGGGAGACCCTGTCTCTAAACTAATTAATTAATTAATTAAAATAGCCTTCAGGAACAGTAAAATAAATATCCTCAGATGACAGAAACACTTAAGAAAATTTATCAGCAGCAAAATTGCTCTTAAAATGCTGCAAAAATATGACTAGAAATGATACCAGAAAAACTCAGAAAAATTTCAGAATTAAAGGATAAGAAAAAGAAATGGTGAATAACGTTTTTCTCCTTTTATTTTTAAAGTAAGTTTCTCAGGGAGTGTATATAGTTTCTTTAACCTTTTAAAAAAATTTTATTTATTATTTTATGTGTATGAGTGTATTGCCTGCATGTAGGTAAGTGCACCCATGTCGTGCAGTGCCCACGGAGGTCAGAAGAGGCTGTCGGATCTTCTGGGACTGGAGTTACGGACAGTTGTTAGCTGCCACGTGGGTGCTGGGATTCGAACCTAGGTCTTCTGGCAAGAATAATCAGTGTTCTTAACCGCTGAGCCATCTCTCCAGCCCCAAGTGTATATACTTTAGTCTTAGGTATCTTTATATCCAACCAGATAATCTATCATACATATGGAAACAGAGCCACTGATAGCAAAGCTAATCACGAGGCACAGCTGTCAATGTGTGCAGATGCAGCACACAGGACAACAATAGCACAGAGGTAGGTTCCTGAAGGTTTGGGCACTTTATTTGGAGTGGGAAAATATTCATTCTAAGAAGCTTGTAAAGGGCTGGAGAGATGGCTCAGTGGTTAACAGCACTGGCTGCTCTTGCAGAGGACCCAGGTTTGGTTCCCAGCACCTACATGGTGGCTCACAAGAGTTTATAATTAGGAGATCGACGCCCTTTCTGGCTTCTGTGGGTACTGCATGACACAGGTACACTCACATACACGCAAGCACAACACTCATACACATAAAAAAAAAAAAATTAAAGGGCTGAAGAGATGGCTCAGCGGTTAAGAGAACAGACTGCTCTTGCAGAGGACCCGGGTTCAATTCCCAGCACTCACATGGCAGCTATGAATCATCCTTAACTCCAGTTCCAGGGGAATCTGAAGCCCTCTTCTGACCTCCACAGCATTGCACGACACGGGTGCACTCACATACATGCAGGTGATACACTCATACACATAAAATAAAAATAATAAATACAATATTTTTAAAAATAAAAAAAGCCATTTATCAAAGGAAAGCTGGAATGGCTATATTAAAATCAGATTACATCAACTACAAAATTAAAAAAATGCTACTGAGACAAAGACAAACTGCACACTGACAGTCAATTCGAGAGCTGGAGAGATGGCTCAGAGGTTAAGAGCACTGGTTGCTCTTGCAGAGGACCCAGGTTCATTTCCCAGCACCCACATGGTGGCTCACAACTGTTCATAACTCCAGTTCCAGGGGATCCAATGTTCTCTTTTGTCCTCTTCTGACAGTGACTGCAAAACACAGGTGCACTTACCTACATGCAGGTAATATACTCATACACATAAACTAAAAATAGATACATTCTTAAACCCCAGTCAATTCCCTAAGAGAAAATAATCCTAAATGTATATACACCTAGCAACAGATCCTCAGACTGCATAGAGAAAAAAGGTAACAAATTGAAAGGAGATATAGATGCATCTGTGATTATTCTTGGAGATTTCAATGCTCTTCCTCAATGCTGAACAGAACAAGTGGAGCAGAAACTCATCAAGAATATTAAAGACAAAAATGACATTATTGCCTTGACCTAATCAACATCTACAGGACATTCTGACCAGCTCCATGTCCTTTCACCTACTCACTAAGACTACATCCTGGGTCAAAACAAAATCTAACAAACCTTTTAAAAATGAAAACTGTGGAAATGGCTCAGTGGGCAAAATGCTTGCCATGCATGCTTGAGGACTAGAGTTTGGATCTCCAGCCCATGTAAGTACTGAGTGGGTATGGCAGCCTGCCTGTAATCCCAGCCTTCAAGAGATAGAGATGGAGCTCTCTGGCGCCTAGCTAGACTAGCTGAATCAGTGAGCTCTGGGTTCAACTGAGAGACCCTGTTACAATATATAAGGTGTAGAGCAATGGAGGAAGACACCCAACATCAACCTCTGGCCTGCATGTGCACACACCGTTGCTCATACACGAGCTCACACACATGTGAACACATACACACGCCACACATACCTACACATGTAAAAAATAAAAATGAATAAATAAAACAAAAATGAAACCATATACCACCACTATGATCATAGTGGAATTACTGGGAAATCCACAAGTATGAGTATTAAGCAAGAAATTTTATATTACATGTGAGTCAAGGATGAAATCATTAGGGAGTTTAAATGATTTTAATTTTTAGGGGCTGGAGAAATGGCTCAGTGGTTAAGAGCACTGACTGCTCTTACAGAGGACCCAGGTTCGGTTTCCAACACTCACATGGTGGTTAACACCATCTGTAATTCCAGTTCCAGGAGATCTAACACCCTCCTCTGACCTTCATGGGCATTACACAACACAGATGCACTTACATACATGCAGGCAAAACTCTCATACACATAAAAATAAAAAATTAAAATAAAAAAACCATTTTGATATGCCCAAAGTAAAAATTCAGCCCCATGTAATTTGTGCAATGCAGCAGGAAAACTGAGGCATTGAATTGTTATTGTTGTTTGTCTTTTTAAAAGGAAATTTCTCAAATCAATTATTTAACCCTTACCGTAAGTAACTAATAAAGGAAAAAAAAAACAAAAAAACAAAGAGAAGGGAAAAAATAACAAACAAAGAAAAAATCAAAGACACAGAAAACATGTTTTAAAAGCCACAAGTTGAGTTTTAAAAGAATGAGAAAAATAAGCTGGGCATGGTGGCGCATGCCTTTAATCCCAGCACTCGGGAGGCAGAGACAGGCAGATCTCTGTGAGTTCAAGGCCAGCCTGCTCTACATAGTGAATTCCAGGACAGCTGGGGCTACAGGGAGACCCTGTCTCAAAAACACCAAAAAACACCAAAAAAAAAAAAAAAGAATGAGAAAAATAATACTTTAGTCAATCTGTCTATATAAATGAGATAGAAATTATTAATAACTAGAACAGAGTGACATCATTACAGATCCTATAGATATTAAAATGAAAATAAACATTATAAATAATTTTTGCCCATAAATTGGGCAAATGAAGTGTAACAATTCCTTAAAAGGCATAAATACCAAAGTTATTTCAAGAAGAAACATACAGGCCTGGAGAGATGGCTCAGTGGTGAAGGGTACCCACATGGTGGCTAACATCTGTCTCTATGCAACTCCAGTTCCAGAAGAATCCAATGCTCTCTTCTGACCTCTGCGGGCTCTGTATGACAGGGGTGCACTCACACACATGCAAGCAATACACTTGTACACATAAAATTAAAATAAATAAAATATTTTAGAAAGGGCCAGGCATGGTGGCACATGCCTGTAACCCCAGCACTTGAGAGGCAGGCAGATCTTTGTGAATTCGAGGGCAGCCTGACCTACATAGTGAGTTCAGGGCAGCTGGGGCTACAGCAAGACCCTGTCTCAAAAAGACCAAAAATTAAATTAAATTAAATTAAAAAAAGAAGAAATATACAAAACAAGTTACAACTGAGTTACCTTATTATATGTTTGATTTGTAGTAAGATACTACTTTCCAAGGTAATGTTCAAAGCACTTGTCAGGTACTGATTGAACTCCTCAAAGAACATTTCATTCCCTTCTTCATATTTCCCATAGTTTTTTGAGTACTCCTTTTGAATGCAGTGATTGGTCAAATGGCACGTCTTGTCTCGGAAATTATCAGCATGATATGGTTCTGAAGCAGTTCGAAGCACACCTTCTTTATAGAGGTAGATGTTATACTGATGGTCAACCAGAACCCAGCTTCTGCAACTCAACAAACAGTTTTATTCAGATCATCCCAAGTTTCTTACATATAATCCTTATACCTAGAATTTTTGTTGGAATGGAGAAGGAGGAAAACAGGGGAAGACTCTAAAGATATATAAGGCAAATAATAAGTTAGCCAAAATAGTGGATTAGCACCATCATGAGGCAAACAAAATATTTCACCATAAATAATGAGGGACTTGAATTCCTTTAAGAAATATATAATTGAGGCTGGAGAGATGGCTCAGCAGTTAAGAGCACTGGCTGCTTTTGCAGAGGACCCGGGGTTCCCAGCATCCACATGGTGGCTAACAACCATCTTTAACTCCAGTTCCAGGGGAAATGACGCCCTCTTTGACCTCTGCAGGCACTGCATGAGACAGGTGCATCTACCTGCATACATGCATAATACTCATACACATAAAAAATAAAAATAATATTTCTAAAAGAAATACATAATTTTGAAGAGATATGGCTAGGTTTGAGGTTAACTGATGATACCACAATATGCCACCTTTGCCTTTAAGTATCTTAACAGGAAGAGTGTACAGCTTGAAGCTAATCTGATACAGGACTGATACTCAAGACTCAGAAGCCATTACAAAGGCATCAAGGAGATAATGTGTGCTGATGAGCCAGGTCAAGGGCAAACTGGGAAGAGGGTGCTAGCTTTAGAAAGCTCCATACAATCATGACAGCGCTCTTTGCTCAAATCTTAAAATCAAGATAGGTGAGGTGCCAAATTCATAAAATATTATGCAAACAACAAAGAACAAATTATCTGGCAGGGTCACGTGGTGTCTTGTGTCTGAATTATGTGTTCCGTGTATT